GAAAATTAAATGCCCAAGGGGGTAGATGCAGAGAGGGTAAAAGATCATTCAACCCACCAGCAAGACCTATCAATTCTACCTTAGAAGTACTTTCCACACCTGTCCACTACTCCTTCTATCTTATTGCTACCACCACTTCAGTTCACCATGATCTCTCTTACCTATCACCACCTGACTGCTCTGTCCAAATCTTTCTTGTCCATTCCTTCTCAGACCATTCTCAATGCAGCAACAAGAATACACTTAAAAAGAAAACCTTCTCTGACCACTCATTTAATTAATTCTGCCAAATGGTTTCCTATTGTTCTCAGGATAAAGGTGAAAATCCCAACTGAAACCTGAATTGTTTTCAATTTTCAACTGAGGGGTTATTTTAAAGCAAATAGGTGAACCTGGTGAAAGGGAGAAAGAGAGTGAAGAGGGAGTGTGGGAAAGAGAGGCCTTGTAATGACTTCCATGTGAGGACAGCCAGGGACCCCTTTCTCCAACCTCATCTCCTTCCAGACTTTCTTTCACTTTTTGGTTGGAAGACATCATAATTCTCCAAGTTGTACACTATTTCAAGCCTCTGGGGTCTTACTTGGACTGCGCTGTGTCCAAGTGGAGTTCTTTATCCCTCCTTTTGGTACAGATTCCAAACCCTCTGCCTTTCTCCTTTCCTTCTAGGGAAAAAGAGGAGAGGAGAAGAGCGCAGATTGGTTTGGCTCAGTGGATAGAGTGTTGGCCTGCGGACTGAAGGGCCTGAGGTTCAATTCCAGTCAAGGAAGAGAGAGAGAGAGAGAGAGAGAGAGAGAGAGACGCTGAAGGGGAGGCAAGGCCGAGGTGATGTAGCAGGGCCTGCCCACAAAGAGGCTGCTCGCACCTAGAGGTTACAGCATCTCCGGCCAACCAGTCAGGGCTGATGATGGCTGGCCAGGAGGGAATGGTTGCTGGGGAAACAGAGGGGGGTCTCTAAGTGCCCCCCCAGAGAAGGGGGATGGTTCATCTATGGATTCCACTATTTAAGCCCCCACCCTTTTGTATTCCCCTCAGCAGTGGAAATTGAGAGTTGGAAGTAAGATCATGCATCTGATCCCCTAACAGGTCATGACGATGAGGATAAGGGTGGGAGATTATTATTACTGGTGGCTTTATAGTGTCATCCTTCTGTCACCAATAATAATCATATTATTACAACACCATTGCATATAGTATCATAATACACTGATGAGTCATAATGTGGATGTCATGTAATATTCTATAAGCCGTATGTTATAGAATATCTGAGGAGTCCGCTGATATGGGACATCATATACTACGATGACGTGTTTCTATGACAGCTGGCACTGGCCAAAGGCAAGGGGAGGGAATGAGCCTATGACCTCATCGCAAGATCTCCCTCTCTTATTCCCTGGAGGAAAGCGGAAAAGCCAGGTCAGCTCGGGCATGCGAGACAAAGGAGTGCTGTCTGGTTATGGTGATGAGTGGGGGTCACACGGACACAGAGGCCAGCCCCCCACTTACATGTTGCTTTCTCTACATATATCTATCTCCATCTAGCACTGGACTCTTCTCTTCCTCGTTCTCTGAAGAACAAGGAACAAAGAGAGGAGATGGGTTACAGATAGACCCACGGGTTGGCCCAGTCACCAGGTCGCCAGGTCACCAGGGCCGGCCCTGCTTTGCACTGCCTCTGACCACCTGGGGTTTTCTGGTCCGGGCCTGGCGTCCTTACCCTCCCTCTCCCTGCCCTGTGAGGCTGGAGCTTAACTGTACACCACCCACCCCAGGAAGAGGCATGCTCTAAGAGTGAGAAGCCAGGAAGCTGCCCGGCTGGGCAACTGGCTTTGAAAGGCTCTGGGGAGACAGGGAGACCCAGCAGGTAGGAGATTCCTGGAACCAGGCTAGAGGTGTGGAGGCACAGGGGTTCTTTCCCACAGGGCCCCTCACCTGCGTCAGCCCTGGGTGTGGGTAGCTGGGCTGGGGATCACCCCTCTGCTGAAGGGGCACCTCCTGGAGGGAGCTGGCCTGGCTGGGCTCCTCTGGCAGAACTCAGCAGCTCCAGCCTGGCACAGGGCTCACTGGTCGTCACACTCTGCACCCCTCCCTCCACTCTGCCCTGGCCCCACCCCCACACCAGGTCCTCACTGACCTGACTCTCGGCCGGGGGTGTCCCAGGCTCCCTGTGGGAGCTGCCCGCCTCAGGCCCAGGGCCCTCCAAGAAATTGGACGGAACCAGGCCCCTCTGTCCATTTAGTTCCCCCTGGGGAGGAGATACTGGTGAGATTGAGATTAGGAAACAGGCCTCAGCTCCACCCCCTTGACCCGGAAGCCGCCTGAACACCCTGGGGTCAACATCTCTGTCATGGGAGGTGGCTTGTCCATTCCCCCAGGCATCCGTCGTGGGGAACCCTTGCTCATCCCCTCCCCAGCTCTGGGAGAGCCCTCTCCCCACTGCTCTCACATAGTAGAAGCCATCATCGTCCATGCCCCCGAACACAGTAATGATGTCCCCTGCTCGGAAGGGCAGCTCTGCCTGTGGGGAGACCAAGAGACAGGGGTCAGGCCCAGGGAGGCCCTGCCACCCGCCACCCACGTTGGCTGGCCTCTATCTGAGGGTCCTCACCTCCACATCCATGTTGGGGGAGCTCTCCCGAGGGTTGTAGTCAAACGCAGCCACCATGGAGCGGGGGGCTCTCAGGCTGGCAGAGGAGACCAGCTGCGGGGGGCCTGCCAGGGGAGAGGAGAAGACTCGGGACTTTCTCTAGACTCCCCATCCCACCCCCTCTGCACTGGAGGTCTGCTGACCCTCTCTGCACCAACTCCCCCACTCATTATAGCTCCTCAGCCGAGACCAGAGGGACCGCCCGCCCCTGCCCTTTCCCCCGGCCTCCCCTACGCAGGATGGCCCCTCACCTGCACCATGCTGCGCAGGACCTTCTGACTCAGCTGCAGAGAGAACGTATGTGTGAGCCCCGCCCCGCACATCCCTGCTCATCCCAAGCAGGGGATGGGGCAGGGCAGGCGGGATGCTCAGCCTCACCTCAGGGATGCGGGAGAAGGATGCTCAGAGAGCCCATGAGCCCAGCCCTTTGGTGTGGGGCATGAGCTAAGGCCCAGGAAGGGTGAGTGATTTCCTCCAGGTTGCACAGAGTTTACAGTCAGAGGCTTTTGGGGACAGAGGGCCCGGCAAGGCACTCGGGTCCCCTTTAGAATGAAGTAACCTCCTCGCGAAGGGTGGATGGTGTGAAGGTCTGCCCTGATCCCCTTTACCTCCTCAAAACCCCACGTGTGTGTCCCCAGAGAGCCAAGCAGTGACCCCCATCCCCGCGGGCCCCAAAGGAGAGGGGGTCTCACCCACCTTTCTTGGAGCGGCGGGGCTTGGGGGGAGGCCCAGTTGTTCGGGCTGTGGAGGACAGAAAGAGATCCAGGAAGGCAAGTGAATGTAAGAGAGAAACTGAGGCAGGGGATAGGACAGTGACTCTGGAGTCTCG